GGGGGGGGGGGGGGGGGGGGGGGCAGATCAATGGCTCCCACGGTGAGGGAGGGGGCAGGGGAAGGTGCTGCCCAGCTGGAGGCGGGGGCACAGGATGGAGCCACAGCTTGTGGGGTAGGGGCAACTCCCACTGCTGCTTGTACCCCGGGAGGGCAGGGGCAGGGGCAGGAGAGTGCATGCCCCCAGATCTGTGCGGTGCAGTGACAGCTGTGGGGTGGAGCCAGAGCCAGAGCTGTGCAGCTCTTCTTCCTAGGGACTGGGCTTGGAACGGGCTCCAGCGGTGCTGGGAGGAGGCTGCAGCCACCCCAAATTTCACTGCAGCTCCTCTCCTTGCACAGCCCCAGCTGAAAGCCCTGCCTCCACCCAAGTGCCAGGAAAAGCCAGGCCTGCACTGGGCAGCGGTGCAGGGCTAGGAGCAGAGCTGGGGCAAAATATGGGGTGCTGCAGACTCCTCCCAGCACTGCCAGAGCTTGCTCTGAGCCCAGCCCCCAGCAAGAAAAGCCCCATACAGCACTGGCTCCAGCTCTAGCTCCATCCCAACAGCTGCTGCCACCGCACAGATCCAGGGGGGGCACACCACAGTGACAAGCAGTGGCACAAGTTGCCCCCACCACACGAGTCATGGCTCCACCCTGCACCCTCCCCCTGCCCCCTTTCACCATGGGGGTCACTGATCTGCCCCCACACGCCCCTTCCCTCTCCCCTCCCCTTCTACCACACTGAACTTACCACCAGCTGATGGCAGCTGTATTGGATCAGTATCAGTCGATATGCCTCCTTAAATATCGGCTATCTGTATCAGCGCCCAAAATCCTTATCAGTGCACCCCTCGTTTAGAACTTTCAAAACGCAAACCACCTCATTTGAAGGCACAGACTGAATAAGCATATTTTACCTTATTCTCATGATCACCAGGCTCCAGTGCTTCATCTTTTGATGCAAATCTATCAACACTACCATCAGAAGGTTGCCTGCTATGGCCCATGTTTTTCAATAAGTGGGGCTGCTGAAGGGCTTCAGAAAAAAAAAGCAACACAAAGTACTGCTTGAAATGCAAGTTCAATTAAAAGTGTGATCTGCTTTTACACTTATCAACATACAATTCAGAGAAACAAAGTCATCTAGAATTAAACAAGTGAAGTGAACTGCTAACCTGAAAATGCAAAACAAGTGCCATACCTACACAAAAACAAGATGAGGTCTCCCCCACCTCCTCATCAGTATGGGGGGGGGGAAGCTCTTCATCTTACACTCACATACAAAGAAACCTCATTAAATACATTGTCTATCATTAAACTGCAGCCCAAAGCAGCAGGTGCTTTGCAACAGAAACCAACTATGAAGTTGATTAAATGCAGCCAACACTGAGCATGACTATAAAACACTTGGCTCCTATTGGGCAAACATGCTGATGAGAGCCTACCACAAAAATAGGTTAGTGCAGCCCATCTGAATAAGAAGTGACAGTAGTGCCCATTGAATGCAGTCACCCTCACTGCTCACTCAAGTCATGGTGAGCCACTACATTGTAGATTCATAGATATTAGGGTTAGAAGGGACCTCAGTAGGTCATTGAGTCCAGTCCCCTGCCCTGGGCAAGAAAGAGTGCTGGAAAGATGGCCACAGCTAGGTGCTTGTTCAATCTCCTCTTGAAGACCCCCAAGGTAGGGAAGAGCACCACCTCCCTTGGAAGCCCGTTCCAGATTCTGACAACGCTTACTGCGAAGAAGTTCTTCCTAATATCCAACCTAAGTCTGTTCTCCATCAATTTATACTCCTTATTCCTAATTACTCTAGGGGGTGCCCTAGTGAATAGGAGATGCTCTATTGCCGATAATTTCATCAGGGGAGGGCAGCAGCAAGCCACAAGGTCACCTCTCAGCCTTCTATTGTGAAGGCTGAAGAGATCTAGGTCCCTCAGTGTCTCCTCCTAGGGCCTTGCCTCCTCTGAACCTGCTCAAGATACTCTCCATCCCTCTTGAAGTGCGGTGCCCAAAATTGGATGCAATACTCCAACTGTGGCCCGACCAGCACCACAGAGGGGAAGCAACACCTCCCTCGACCTGTTCGTCACGCATCTCCTAATGCATGATAAAGTGCGGTTAGCCTTGTTGATCACTTCGTCGCACTGACAATTCACATTCATCTTGGAGTCAACTACGACTCCAAGATCTCTTTCCTGCTGCTGTGCTGCTGAGAAGGTCCTCTCCCAGCCAGTAAGTGTGTTGGTG